GCCTTGCTCTTAGGTGGGTTCGCATGTACGTTGCCATGAATTTTCGTACATGATTTTCTATCCATGTTTATCGAGTGATCCACAAACAAGGAAAATTCCTATTTTGCCTACCTCTATCTTGATGGGAGGAAACAAAAACTCTTTTTACTTGTTGGGTAATCATCTTTGCCATTCAGCCTGATCAGAATATCTCTATAATTATTAAGCTCCCACGAAATGAAGCCTCTGGTTCATCGTGGATTTTGGTCAAATGGTGAACTTTGGTTAAATGGTGGACCCCATCAAAACTGGCTTTCAAATCAATGATTACTACGTGACAACGTATTTAGTAGAAATGAAAGTAAAACTGATTTTCTTGACTCGATTATTTGCTTTTTTGTTTGGTCAACTGCATCGTCCAACGGTGCCCGACGCATTTTTTCCGCGTCCACTTACAAAAACAATTTTGAAAACATGCATTTGAATTAAATATAAGTAAATATTAAATGACTGGTCAACCGCCGGCAAAAGTTCACTTTAACATTAATAAAACATAAAAACTAAATAAACGTGCCTCCCAACAACTTAGCATGCTGCCCTAGGCGTCGCCATCGTTGTTGTCATTGCCAGTGAGGTTGACAAGGCTGGCAGCGGCCCGGCCCATAGGAATGCGGTCTCCTACGCCACCCGCGCCGACTCCTACAGCATCTGCCCCACTGGCGACATTGCTACGCGGCGCACAGTCCACCTTCTCCTGCACCTGGTGCTCTTCCTCCACCTCCCGTGCCAAGCAGGCACATCGCTCCTTCTCCTCAAGCTCGGCTTGCATCTGACGCTCGCTGTCAACACGCTCCTTAGACATGTGGAGTTGTCCCCAGTGCGCTAATTGGGCCTCCTCTTGCTTCCTCGTGGCGCCCAGGGCGATGGACGGCGTGCTCACCCACTCGCGAAGGATGCCGGTCCACGCGTACATGTCCGACTTCGGCTCCGTGAGCGGCGCGGGCGTGAGCGTGAGCGCCCATGTGTGCTCAGGCTCGGCCTTGAGCTCAGGCAGCAGCGGGGCGTAGGCGCGGTCCCTCACCACCGACAACGTGTGTCCTCCCCGCGCTGGCTCTCCTCCAGGGCGCGCTGGAGCGCCACCTCCAATGTGGCCTGGTGGGTTGCCTCCTCCTCCGACGCTACCTCCGGGGACGGCGACACGAACCCAAGGTTAAGTTACATGCCACCGCGGCGGGTCACATCATGCTCCGTGGCGAACCAGACCTCCCAGTTGGGAGAGTCTTGAGCGTACGCATGGTTGTGCCAATGCTCTGGCGTCAGGAGGGCGCGGCTCTTGCGCACCTTCTCCGTGTGCGCCTGCGCCGACCGCGCCACCTCTGACATCGGGATGCGGTGAGGGTCAAGGTGCTAGCCATGCAAGAAGTCGACATCTGGCCACGACAGCGGTTGGCGGCAATGCCAGTGCCAACGTGCTTCGTGCACCTAGATGTATAACAGTCCTATGGCCGGCGACCACTAGCCACATGGGGATTCATCGCGTAGGCTGACAAGGGCGGCGGCAGTGGCCGTGACGCTGGTGGAGGCGGCGTGCGGGACGAGCTGGCGCTGACGTCGAGTTTGCCATTGCTCTTGCTGAAGATAACCATGGCTGGCGCTTGTGTTGTCAGCGGTGAGGGGAGCGAGCGTGGCCAAATGTGGATGACCCCCCCCCCCACACACACACACACTTGCATTAAGAAGGACGAGCACGCCGAGCGCTTCTAGACGCTGCCATGTGGGCTGAGGTTAGGTGGATGCAATAACTACGACCGCATGGAGTAGTTGTGTTGTCGACGTGCGAGTCCGAGGCGGACATCGAGCGGACACGCGGTGCGTCCGTCTCATGTCAGCATGGACACAAACCTGACATAAATTTGGGCCGCAAACGCGTGCAGACGAGCAGTGAGCGGACAGCTTTTGGGTTTGGTTCATCGCATAGGGTACGTATTTTCATCCGTTTGGATGCAAACAGATACACATGAACAATTTAGGTCGACATACTTGGAGTTTCTCTAATCTATGTCAACAACTGCTTGTTGCAAGGGACTAATTGATGTCAAGAGCTCTTTGCTGCTTGCTCATGTGTTGATGTCTACTTCAAATTGATGGCTTGATTCACGTGTTGATGTCTACTTCAAATTGATGGCCTGATTCTGTTGGAGCAAATGAGTTTGACCCAAATTTTAAAATGTTTTTTGTTGGTTTCGGTCGGAGAGTTTGGTTTGTATAAATTTGGATTATTTTGGTAAGTTTTATTAGTTTGCATGGTCTAGGGCTTAAACCTTTTCCTAGCTGGCTTGCATGTTTGTTGATGAGCAGTGCTGGTCCAATTTCTTTATTTGTTCAGAAGTTTTGCCGAATGTTGAATGTCGAATTCAAACATTATATTTTTGCATATATTGTTGCTGATTTTTTTTTACTTCTTCTAGTCATATCTTTTAAGGTTCTAAACTCTCTAGGAATGTTGGTTCCTGGTCCATTAGGGCTTTGGGGAGCTGTCGGACCCACCTATAAGAGAGTTGTTCGCTCTTGCGTTATTTGCTTGGGTCCACTCCCAGGCGAACGTGACACGCATATATTGATTGCTTTCTTGTACATAAAAATACCACAACCACCCATAAAACAATTTAGTTCACCTCGTAGATAGATATTGTCTCTATCGAGCAAGGGCGAAGCCAACGAAAAGGGGAAATCGTCAGTGCAATTAAAAGTCAGCTTAACTCATGTGAAACACACAACAAAGCCATCAACCATAATATCATGTCAAATAAATAGAAAGGCTTAACTCATGTCTAAGGACGGCGCGGCAAAGCGCGTAGTCATAATTTATAAGTGGCAAAAAAGAGGCCGGTTATTTGAAGTTATTCTAATCTCATACACACAACTTTGCAATTATCCCTTGAAATTCTCGAGCCCAAAGATGGAAAGGAAAATTCAATTAGTTAACTAAATTCAGAATGACTTTCTTCACATTTTTATAGTGATTCACATGGTGTAACTATTGAGAGTCAAGATATTCACGACAATCATAGATAAAAAGTCCATCTTCTTTGGTTATTGACAAACAACTTATTTGATAGTACTCAACACAATTGACACAAAAAAAGTAAACTGAAATCTAAATTTGGAACCGCCATTTCACGAAACATGAAACAATTATTGACGAACAGATATCAATTTCTTTCCACCCAAACAGGAATAATTTGAACATTTCTCACACTTTATTCATTTACTCCCCAGTGAAACTTCCATGTGGGCTCCGGGTTCACCTTCCAGCTGACATAACACACGACAAATCATCAAGAGATAATATCACCGAAAATCATAGAACTTGCGTTGCATGTTCAATTTGGTGCTAAAACTTGTAAAATACGGATTTGTGGTCACCTAACTTATTGCGTGGTGCAAATATGGTGTGTTCTACCATAGAGGCTTGGAATAACTTTTTCTAGATAACTCCCTGAATTTTTTAATTGCGCATAAAAGCACAGGTGAGGCCCACCTGTCATTGAATAATGTAAGCAAAAAATGATAAGTCGTCATATAGAGGGACCGGTATTCAAACTCGCGACCTTCAGAAGAGAAGGTAGGCACACGTGGTCAACCAGCGCAGCCGGTGACACAAGATGCATAATAAGGATAACTACGTTTTATATCCTCATCTTAAAATACGTGGGCCTGTTAGCTCAAATGGCCTATGATCTGTGTACCCCATTTTGCATCTTTGATTTTGGTAGAAATTTGTAGATAGTACGTAAATTATGATATTTGTCTCAAAAAAATGTAAATTATGATCTCGGTCAGAAAAATAATTTTTAAATATTTGTGTTATAAATATTATTATACAAACAAAATAACTTACTCTCAAACTGTTCATGTATTATTTTGCAAATATTATATATTAAAAAATATTTATGTATAACGAAAATTTGTGTATAATTTCAAATAATACAAATGTTTGTAAAATTAAAATTCCAAATTATTATTTTAGTTTTACAAATCTTTCAATAATTATATGAAAATTTGTATAGTTCAATTTCCATGTCCATAATTTAACATTTAAATTGTTGATATGAATATTCAGTCATGTCTAATATAATACATGGGTTTATATTTAAATATTTTATTTTTTGTATGTATAATATTTTTAACACACAGATATTTGAACATAACTTTATTACTTATGTTTTACTAAACTCAAGCTTATATTAAAAGTTTTGATTTACAAATCATCTTTTGTATGTATAGACAATAGAGTGTTTTTGGTTGCGGCCTCGTGGGTTCGAGACCTAGTGGCTCCCTTATTTTTATGTTAAAAATGCACTCATCTATGAGCATTAAAGTTTTGCATCATATTTTTGAAATGTAATTTTACAAATATTTGGATTGCTTTAAATTATAGAAACATTTTTTTAGTCCAGCAATATACTATCATTACTGAGATCATAATTTACATACAATTTTCTAAAAAAAAGGTGGAAAATGGGCTCTACTGATCATAGCCCATTTGAGCTGGCAGGCCCAGGTGCGCTGGGAGAAGTTAATAGAAACTAGTTATTCTCCTGCAACATCAAACTGCGCTTGGTCTGCTGGTTTAACTGGTGTGTTCGCCTCCTGAAGATATGTAGTTTCGAAACCTGCTGCTCCAAATGATGTTTATTTCCTTTCTCTTATAACACTGTTCGACTTTTTTTGCGTAACCAAAAAAATATAGGGAGTTATCTGGAAATATTTACCCTCTACACACTGACATGTGGGCCGCTGGCATGCCATGTAGGTAGGGTGTACACCTGGATACAGTAGAATGCACCGTATTTGCACCAATCAACAAGTTAGGTGACCGCAAATCCATATTTTATAAGTTTTAGCATCAAACTGAACATCCAGTGCAAGTTATATGACTACTAGTGATATTACCTCAATCATCAAGGTACAATGAAAAGCCAGGACGTATCAAGCCGCGCGAAAGGATTCCACACGATTCACCCGTCCAGAGGATTCACCACGTGCCCAAGAAAGAGAGCCACGCCGGTCCTCTCCTCGACGATGGCGAACAGGAACGGCCGGTCCGCCACGAAATCCACGGGAGGCCGCGCGCTTGCGCACTGCGACAAGCACACGGCGGTGGCGGCCGCGGCCACGGTGCCCAGCTCGTCCACCTCGACGGTGGCATTGTGATACACCCCGGAGATGCGCAGCCCATTTCCGCCTGTCACCATGCCGGAGAAGTCGCCGCCTCCGAAAGCCCTGGCCACCCCGAGCTCCTGCATCTCCCGCGACGCCTCGAACTTGAACTCGAACCTGAACTTCGGGACCATGAACCGCCCGACCGGAACCTGGTCCGCCGGCGTGTGCCTCCTGATAAAGTCCGGCGTCGAGACGGCCTTGCCGTAGAGTCCGGCGAGCCCGAGGGCGGCGCTATGATCCGGGACGAGGAGGAGCATGTAGAATGACGCGGCTTGGTGGACGTGGTGGAAGCCGCCGCCGTTCTTGTAGGGAAGCTTGAGGGCCTTGAAGCCGGGAAAGGCGGCGACGTGCTGCTGAAACAGGCTCGTCGTCATGAACGGTGCGCGCACGGTGGTGCCGTCGGCGAGATGGAACGGCGCGGCGAAGGTCGCCGACGGGTCGAACGGCTGAGCCCACGTCCCTTTGAAGTAGAGCGCGTTGGCGAGAACGACCACCGTGGACGAGTCGACGGAGCGGGCGGGGAGGACCTCGTCGATGAGCTCTTTGGTTTCGTGTTTCACGAAGGTGTTCACCTGCTGCCTCGCCTTTTCCGGCTGCAAGAGAGTGTTCAAAAACGTTAGTCAGCAGTCAGCACGGGTTCTTTGATTAATGGGCATGCGTTCTACGCAAAAGTTTTAGCACACTTGCAAAAGCACATCGGGTTAACATAACTGAGAAAAGGTTATAGTTGAGGTACAAGGAAAATATAAAAATATGCTCAATCAACACATCAATTGTTTGACAGAATTTATATAACATCCAAAAATAAACCGAATTCTTTGATTACACAGTGCCATTAGAGTTCAAGTTTTGATGATTTCTTCAATGAAACTCGCAAAGAATTTATTGAAAACTCAGTGGGAAATTAGATAGCTCCATTGAATGATATAACGAAAATCCCAAATCGATGTCATGATAACATGATTTCCTTTTGCATGTCTACTGTGGGGGGTGGTGTTTTTCTTTTTCTTTAGAACCAAGACGCGAGATGCGTCTGACTTTAAATTAATAAGCCCACCAAAAACAGCGTCCAACATAAGGTTCGATAACAACATACCCACACAAGACCGAAATAAAGTATGTTACATGCAGACGGGCACCGGGCCAAAGGTACAAAATACATCTCACAAGGAAACTGAATGCCCAGCTCCACCAAGAAGAACGCAAACTCCAACAAAATATGCTCAGGTGTGCGAAGAGTCTTGACACGCAGAAAGTGTGTGTGTGTGTGGGGGGGGGGGGGTGTTTATACCCTTTAACCTTCACCTACGACTGGTAGTGTGAATATATTTGGAAAGTGGTTGGACATGGCTGCAGCTGCAGGGCACTGGTCCTTAGAGCGTAGGGTCACGTGCATGAAGACTTTTCGGTTGTCAACGATAAGGTTAAGCCGGCTCCAGTAAGGAAGCGGCAACAACGGCGCGTTGGCGGCTTGTTCTGACGACGGTAGTGGTCGCTCAACGGTCTAGTGACCTCGATGTAATTTTTATTATATTTGAAATGATTTGTACTTATGATGAACTTTTTCACAGCATAAATTGTTGTCATTTAAATTCCCTCCAAATATCTTTGTTAAGTGCCCTTAAAAACATCCTTTTATAAGTAAAAGACTACTTTGCCCCTAGTTTTACTTGTATTGCAAATCCCCTACGACTCGAGGAGTCCACATCGACATTGGTGCAAATCCGCCGACCCGGCATATAGGATGGTTGGGGGAACCATCACTGTCGCGTGGAGGATGACCAAGGAAGCTGCCAGAACATCAAGGATGGGGAGATCACATCCTTCCCCGACGCTAATGTATCCTGCTAGGATTCGTGCACCACTGTCACCTGGACAATAGAGAGACGTGGAAGAGGATGCATCGACTGGGTGGGAGAGAGGGAAGCAGGGGTCAAACAAAGATGAGGGGTGGAGAGGGGGAAGCAGGGGTCAAAGAAAGATGAGGGGGTGAGGGAGGTGGCGAGATGGGAAAGAGATGGAGAGGGAAGGGTTTAGGGTGAAATTATGTGAGATAGGGGGAGGGAATAGAGATATGAATGAAACTGGAGAGGGTTCGGTCGGATAATGATAAAAAGTAATCCAGTTTTCAAGTATATTTTTCGTTGCAAAGCGAGATGGTTGCAGATTCAAATATTGGATTATATGAATTCAGTCATGGTATGGTAATGGATTGGGCCAGAATAAAAAAGCAGATATACACCAACTTCATATATCAGGAATATAGACATGAAATGGACATACACCACATGCATAGATCAGAAGTGTAATGACATATTTATCCCTAACGTGTTTTGATGATTGATGACAATGCGTTTGCGGACTAATCGTGTGTCTTGAGTTTCCCATACGTTTCTTCGCTAGGCACAAGACGGTTTGGTGTCCCTCGAAGACTATTGAAGACGGTGTTTTTCTACGTTTCTTTTTGGTGGATTTGAGTCGTAGGAAAGCCGTACTATTAAGAGGGGGTCTGTGTCGGAAAGGTTCGGGTGGAATCATCACATACACGTTTCTTCCTTGTCCCCTCCTTTCCCCTGTACCTTGGAGCATCCTCCGTTTATATCTCTTCACCTTGTTCTGGCTGCTGTGTTGGCTTGCGGTAGTACTGCTCCCTGGTGAGTGGTAGTACCGTAGGCACCAGCGGTAGTACCATGCTGTGGCGTGGTAGTACCGCAGGTGCCCATGGTAGTACCGCTCCTCTGGAGCCATAGTGCCGTGACCCCCAGGCCAAGCACCGCTCCCTCGCAGTAGTAGGGGCGGATGTAATTTTTTACATCCGTGCTACCACGGTAGTACCGCATCCCTTGCGCGGTAGTACCGTGCGCGGTCTGGCTCAGCTGCCAGGCGGTAGTACCTCCCCTCTGCGGTAGTACTGTGTCGGATTTCTGCTACGTCTGTTTTCCAGCGGAAGTAGGCACAGATGTTCTGTTATCCTCGCTCTTCCCAGGCTTGGGGTTCCCTGCCTTGCGGTAGTACCGCGTCTGCAGAAGTACTGTCCTCAGCCCATGTGCTTAAGGTCTGCCCTTGCTACTGCTACTGTGGTAGTACCGCGGCTCCTCACGGTAGTACCGCGTGGCCCAGCGGTAGTACCGCTGTCCTGGGACGGTAGTACCGCTGGTCGCGGGCTGGTAGGTGGATAACGGTTGGATTTTCTTCCTTAGCTATATAAGGGGTGCCTTCTTCCTCGTGTTGACTACCTCTTCCAACCCTAAGCTCCATTGTTGGTCTAAGCTCCATTTTCGCCCGATCTCACTCCCTAGCCAATCAAACTTGTTGATTTGCTTGGGAGTGGTTGAGAAGGCCCTGATCTACACTTCCACCAAGATAAATTCGATTCCCCCCACTAATCCCTTGCGGATCTTGTTACTCTTGGGTGTTTGAGCACCCTAGACGGTTGAGGTCACCGCGAAGCCATAGTCCATTGTGGTGAAGCTTCGTGGTGTCGTTGGGAGCCTCTAATTGAGTTGTGGAGATTGCCCCAACCTTGTTTATAAAGGTTCGGTCGCCGCCTCCAAGGGCACCAATAGTGGAATCACGGCATCTCGCATTGTGTGAGGGCGTGAGGAGAATACGGTGGCCCTAGTGGCTTCTTGGGGAGCATTGTGCCTCCACACCGCTCCAATGGATACGTACTTCCCCTCAAAGGGAAGAAAATTCGGTAACACATCCTCGTCTCCACCGGCTCCACTCTTGGTTATCTCGTGCCTTTACTTGTGCAAGCTTATTTGTGTTATATCTCTTGCTTGCTTGTGTTCCTATCTTTGTTGCATCATATAGGTTGCTCACCTAGTTGCATATCTAGACAACCTACTTTGATGCAAAGTTTAAATTGTTAAAGAAAAGCTAAAAAATGTTAGTTGCCTATTCACCCTCCCCCCTTTAGTCAACCATATCGATCCTTCCAATTGGTATCAGAGCCTCGTTTCTTTATTAAGGACTTTACCGTCCGAAGAGTATGGTTGATACCGTAGACGGTGTGGAGGAACACTCCGGTGTTAATCCGATCTCGTCTACGGGCGATGGGGGAACCTCGGTCTCTCATGAGGAGTTCAATGTGGCCTTGGAGACACTGAAAACCTCCATTATGACCGAGGTTGAAAGCATGTTTACTAAATTCCTTGAAGGGCTTAAACTATCCACCGCACCGTTGAAAGTGGGTGATCCCACCGACAAGGTGACGGATGCTATCTCCGACAAGGGGGAAGCTAGTAGTGAAAAGGATCCTTCTTCTAGTGGTAAAAATGGCACCGACATCTTTGCGCACGTGGAACCACCACTTGTTTATGGTGGACCGGTTCCTTCCACTCATTTGAATCATGCTAGTCCTCCCCCTAAGATTGTGAAATATGAGGACTTTGATTCTTGGGTTTACCACTTTAAGCGTCATTTAAATCATGTGAACACTAATCTTTGGAGAATCATTGAAGAAGGTTTCCATCCACATGATCCAAGCAACTTCACTCCCCGAGAAGCCGCGGATAATCAATTCAATGAGAATGCTCTCTTCATCATTCAAGATGCAATTTCACCCAAAGATCTACCTCATCTTCGGCCCTTCGCCTTGGCCAAAGACGCATGGCTTTGTGTTGTCTCACTCTACCGGGGAAGCGCAAGCATTCAACGCTCCAACTATGAAGTGGTACAAGATGAAGCCGATGAGTTTGCAATGAAATAAGATGAATCGTGAGCTTTATCGGAGAGTAACCAAACTCGCGGTCTCACTCCGAGATTACGGGAGCAAGGACACGGATGACAATTGGATCAAGCACAAATTCCTCAAGGCAATGATGCCTTACCACAAGGCCATGTCCTCCGTCATTCGTCAAAGGCCAGACTTCCACACTTTGACCTCAAGCGAAGTGTTGGATGAGTTTGTGGCCGTGAACATCTTGGACAAGACCGCCGACAATGCGGTGCTTCGTTCTCAAAGGGCAAAGAAGCCCAACCTTGCATTGAAGGCCAAGGTTTGCATTGAAGAAGAAGAAGAGGAAGAAGAGGAAAGCAACCCCGAAGATACAAAGTATGCATATCATGAACACATGGCACTTGCTTCAAGGCAATTTTGGAGCAAGAAAAACTCAAGGCCAAACTTTAACAAAAACAACTCAAGTGGCACGAAGAGCAAGCAACGTGTAAGGACTTGCTACAATTGTGGCAATGTGAATTTTGTTGCGGAGTGCCCGTATGAGAAGAGGGAATACAATGGTGGCAAGCTCATCCGAAAGGACAAGGCCAAGTCGTTCCCCAACAAGAGCACTTTCACCAAGAAGACTCCTCCCAAGGCATTGGTGGTACAAGAAGAGTACAATGAGGATGATGATGATGATGAAGATGGTGAGTCGGTTGCCATGGCCTCAGTTGCCATTGCGACGACTCCACGGGTGTCTCTCTTCGACTCACCCAATGAGAGCATCACCGCCAAGTGCCTCATGGCTAAAGCCACCAACAAGGTAACCCCTAACATCAAAACTACCATCATTAATCATCCTTCTTCGACAGATAGCATTGATGCACATGAGGGAGCTAATGTGGAGGTGAATGAGTTTGAGGCCTT